TTCTTACCCTAAACAATCAGTCACATAAAATTACTGGATTATGTGCATCTGTGCCGTAAATTTGCAATAAATTACCATGAATTATGCATTTGGAAACCAACATTATTGTTTCTTTTTTCTGTACTTTTATGATTTTTAAATGTTTGTACAAGAGGCATCCAGAAAATAAAGAATGTTAGACTATAAAAAATAAAAAACAATAAAAAAACAGTATAGGAAAAAGTTTTACTAAAGAGACCAGCTATTTTTTTACTTAGTTACCATTACTATTTAAGCTTGTTCAAATACACAGTGAAACCAAATAGCAGACACCTCTATTTAACAGACATTTTTACAATCCCCATACCCTTCAAATAGGACTTCTACAATATTTATCTCTGTGAGATTAGCCGGGGGTACCTTTCCATTAGGATTGTTAGTACCATTTAATCGGCGCTATTCTCTAGAATAGTTCTCGGAGTTTCAGATCGCGAGATCCGATCTTACGTCAAGAATTGACCGGGAGGGCTTTAGTAACAGATCTGAATCGCGAGATTCGGATCTACGTCAGGATGTTGACACCAGTTAATCAGTTTTATATCATGCGGATTAACACGCGTTGGAGATAATATGGATTTGATTCGGATAACAACTAAGAGACATTTCTTATATGTATAAATAAAAGACCTTTAATAAACTAGCATAAACAAAGGTATACAAAATGGATATAATCCAATAATTCAAACTAGTGATTGAGAAAGAACATGGATTCAATTAAAATATACGCGTTGAGAGAGAGAGAGAGCTCACAAATTCATTGACTACAATACTACCTCAAGGTTTACCGGGTCTTTATGTTCATTTGTATTCTATGATCATACTTCATTTCATAGAGAGGTCTTGATTTGGCACAAGGTAATAAATTGTCTTCTATTCTCCTAAATTAACTCATTATTATACTTGTCTGGATATGACTATGGGCATTGTGGAGCAAATATGGGAGACATCTCTCCTCTATGAGATCTTCTGACGTACTTTGAACTAAGGACATTGGCCTTAGGGAGACAATATGGGAACTTCTTTCCGATATGAGATTCCCCAACGTACTCCCCGAATCATGCAGATCTTTGACTATATCTCATGATTTGTGACCAATCAGCTTATTTGTTTTCACTCACATGAACGGATGAAAAGGGGAATTATTGAGGGGTCGACAATTCCCAGGGTGGTGAGATTTGTGATAGATAAGTGGAAAACAAAAGGATGTGTCTACTTCCGTTAAAGGAAGTGGCTCTTTTATCAGTTTTCCCACGTTAGAAAAACGATATTTTCACACCAAAATGAAAGAATATTTTACTTCATTATTTTAACTATATATTTAAATTGTTAATTGGACCCANAGTACAGCCACTGATTGGTCAGCAGACAATTACGCCACACGGCATGATTTGCATAAGACTATGGCTTGGGAATCACAGATTTGCATAACGTTATGGCTGGGGATGGCTAATTGGTCGGCCGGGAATCACGCCACATGACATTTGCATAGTGCTACGGTTCAGTAAGCACTAATTGGTCATCGAGTCCGATGTTGACGCTATAAAAAGGCGACAGTTCGACACATCAGATATATGTCACTCTCGTCTATGTTCGACTTGGGGATTTTTTTTTGTTCAATAACAAATGTGAATTCTTCTTCCTGGAAAAAATAAGACATTCCCTGAAAATAAGATCTAGCGCATTTTTCAGAGCAAAAATTAATATAAGACACTGTCTTATTTTCGGGGAAACACGGTAGTAGTTGTAACTGAACGTAGTTTTTCCAAACTGAAATCAATTAAAAATTATTTTTGTACAATTATTGCACAAGATACTTTAGTGAATTTGCAATAGCAACACTAACAATAGTCTATATCAGGGATAATGAATCTTTTTGGCTCTGCGTATCATATAGTAAACATACTTATCTTTAAAAATGTTTATGCCTATCAAACTTCTAAACTTCGAATAACTATTTTTAAATCATTGAAATACACATGATTTAATTAGAGTAAATGTAAAGAAGATAATTGGAAAAAAAATGATCAGGTAATAAACCGAAATGATGATTGAAAAAGACAGGTGATAAGTCGTATGATACGTTATGTGCCACTTCGGGCACGCGTGCTGTAGGTTCGTTACCCCCGGTTTATATTGAGAGAGAATATATAACCAATAAACTGAATCATCGAGATGCCACGAACACTTTTGTGAAATTATAAGACTGCAGAATTTTTAAATAAATAAATATATTTATCTTGAGATAATATATTTGAATTCATAAATCTGTAGTCTTTTTTTACTGTTTCATAAAGAGATTGGTGCAAGTCTTCATTTTGTTTTAAAATTCATGTTTTAAAAAATATTACCAACATATTTTGCTTTTCAAAACAAAATTTTGTGTTGTTCAGGTCTGAAATTAAGGCCTGATGAAGTTTGATATTAAAGAATGAAAATGTTAATATGTTTTCAAATTATAACAACAAAAAAAATTTTAGATCAAATCATATAATTCAAAGTTTTATTTTATTATTTGCAAATTAACAAGTTATAGGCCTAATATATTTTATAAGATTTTTAACCTGTTAGATATAATCAGCTCCCCTTTTTAGGGTTATAGACTATTGCTATATAATCAGAAAAGCTCAAAAGGAATCATAGATACAAAAGTAATTCTTTAAGAGATGTATTCCTTCAAAATTTGCTCTTGTATTCTCAATTAAAATGAGATAAATGGGTTTAAAAAAAAAAGCAAAAATTTATACATTGGTCAGGATAAAGTAAATTTATTAGTTACTCAGCAAGAAATAAGTTCAAATTCTTTGAGTAATTATATCAATATTTTTCCTAAATGTAAACTGAAAATAAATATGAAGCGTTATTGACAATAAATGGTTGCTACTAAGGTTGCTACAAAATCATGCTCATTCCACATGCACACACACCCATATACCATATTTACTCGCATATAAGATGAGGTTTTTATTCATTTTTCACTGCTTCAAAAACTTAGGTCATCCNGAATTTCGAATTTTAATTAAAAATAATATATGTTTATCTCATATTCAAAATCCGTAATATTTAACATAATAGTAATGAAGCTATTGTAAAATTTGATATTTTTAAGAAATTTAATTAACAGTCGTTTTGATGTTTTTAATAACTCGCACAATCGATTATAGACATTATACGATGATTCGTTTAGCCCGCAACTAGCTGACAAGTTGAAGTAAGTAAACCAATGACAGATTTTTTTTTTTTTTTTTTAAACTCTTTTCGTCCTGTGGGTACTAAGAGGGCCAATTTTAGCAAGCCCACTATGGGTGATGAGGGACGAGAACCGACATATCAGGACGAACCACCCCCCGAAAAATTCTTGGGGATTTAGCGATCCGTCAAGATACGAACCCGGATCCCCCAGAGTGGTAGGCCGCCACCTAGATCGCGCGGCCATCCGGCCTTACCGATGACAGCTAATTTATTTATCTGCTTGCTATCTATATGCATTCTCAATAGTTTCCTAAACTTGAAATTTAAATAAAATAATGAAATGAACAATATTTTACACCCTTTCCATCGTTTATTTTCTTCATTTATCATAGTTTTAATTGTTTTGATTTAATTAATATAAAAACAAAATATTTATAACAAATAAATTATTTTCCAGTTTTTATATAAAATTTCTCACTTTTTAAAATAAATTATTATTTTTTAATATTTTGTTTATTACATACGCTAAACAAAAATACTTTTCGTCGTCAAGAAAAATAGGAAACGTATAATTTTAGAAGTTGGCAACACTGTAAGATGAGCGGGAATGTCAACTGACAAGTGAGAGTAGCCGGTAAGCTACTGTTAAGCAACATTTGTCTTATTTTATAAAATATTAACAGGACTGCACTGATATTACTGATAAAATATTAACAGGACTGCACTGAATTACTGCACAAGTACCATTTGGTACTTGTGCAGTAATTCAGTACCATATCTTTTATAAAATATAAAAATGGTATAATTACTGAATTTGTAGAATTACCATACTCTTGAAGGCTAGTGTTTGTAAAAAAATGTACAGAGTGATTCAAAATGGAGTATACAAGTTTGAAAGTATATAGAATTGATTGAAGTGTTAATTTATAACGAAACACATCAAGTTTTTCTTGTATAGTGCTGTAGCACCAAATGCTGTCACTGCAAAACATACATTTCAAAATGGCTAGGTGCAGTAGGTGCTTACTATGTGTTTTGGTTTGAGAAACAAAATCTGTTATGATGGTTCAATAGAATTTTCGCAATTGGTATTGTAGAGATTCTCCGGTAGATGTAAAATTTACTCTAGGTGGTATGTATGGTCGTCGGAATTAGATTAAGAAGGATGGAGACGGATTTCTTGTTCAATAAAGACATGCTTGTTACTTGTTCAAGTAACAAGCATGTCTTTATTGAACAAGAAGCGGTACAGAACTGAATGTGGTGCGCAGGCGCGCTACCAACTATATACATTTAATAATTGCCAGAGATGGCACTGCAATACATAGCACTAGGAACTGAAATTTCATTGAGATTGGTTGTTCTGTTTGCCATAACAAATCTGGCCGCCAATTCTGATTTTGTTGTGGAACAAGTGAAAGTGGGTTTTGATCATAGTTGTGGGAAATCAATGCAATGTTATTTCATGAAACTGGCATTTCACAACCAATTATTTTTCAAGTTTTATAAAATTTTTGCACTTAAAACCATAGATTTGTAATGCTGAAAAAAAATATGATGTCAATAAGGTGGCTTGTTAGAAATACTGTGTAGAAATGTTGTATAGTATTGAGAAAGACAAGATGTTCCTAGATAACATTATCTTTGGTGATGAGTTGATATTTTATCTTGGTAGTAAAGTGAACAGCCAAAACTGCAGGATTTGGGCTTTTGAAAATCCACATGCAACTGTGGAACATGTTCGTGACACTCCAAAAGTTAATGTGTCTTAGTGCTTTATCTTTGCTAAGAGGTTTGAGCTTTTAGCAAAAATTTCATGAAACTAATTACTTGCATAAATGGATATTGTACACTTTTAAATTATATTTCTGCTACTTCTAGATAAATCAAACTTTACTAAAAATTTTTCTTTTTTGCTTTAAATAATTTTGCTGCTGACAATAAATATATTTGAGAATGGAATAATGTTGAATTTTATTTTTAATAGCTCATGAACTTTCATGATATTTAATATAGAAATATCGCTTCTATATTGAAATTCATGATAGCAATATCCAATTTTTTCAGTTGATTTTTTTCAAAAGGTTGGAAATAAAATAAAAATTTTATAAATTATTGTAAAAGTCTTAATTAGAATTATTTTATATGTCATCATATTAAAGTTTTTTACATTGTTGTAGTTTATAATTTTTTTAAAATTAATTATAACAATTTTTAAAATGATCAGTTATTCCATAAATTTTACTTTTACAACATTAATTTATGTTTAATTTTTTTTAAAGACAAAAAAACATGGGTGATGCTCTTTATTTTCGTCAATTGCTTCAGAATAAAACTGATGAATTTCAAAATCTTTGTGTAAAATGGCAAGATATTTTACAAGGACAAGAAAATGTTCCAGAAGAAGGTATGCTTTTTAATTATAAATTACTCGAAGTTAAGAAAATGTATTTTATTTTGATATTAAATTCATTATATTATACTGTTTTAACAAACTGCATACAGTGGGTGATCGGTTAACGAAGAAATCGGATAACAAACACTTTTGCAAAAGATTTTTATGATCAGACAACGAACACATGTTCGGATAATGACCACTTCACTGAACAAACACAAGAAGAAGCGATGTAAAATAATGAATACCGATTGGTCTCCCTTTGTCTTCAGGCAACAATTCGAAACTTTTTGGAGCGTGGGAGACGTTGGCATCAACCAGTATATACTGATTGGATAGTATTCCCCTGAACTTTGAAACTCTCTCTTGTAATTCCAGCCTTTTATATTTCTGACAGAAACAATTCTTTTACGTTTTCTTCTGAAAATGCGGATTTATACTGATATCTGCTATTAAAGATGTTTTGAAGAAGTGGGAGGATGTCAGAACAACTGTCTTAAAATGGCATCCAAACCAGGTTGAGGTTAATAGGCCTAGGGATCTCTACAATCACAGTGCTATTAATTACTTCTGAAAAATCATGAAGAATACAGAAAAGCAATTGACATTGGACAGATTCTTTAACCACAAAAACATAAAAAACATGACTAATAAAAATGCAAGACCGTGTAAATATATATATTTTTATTATTACATATGAATAAATGTAGTAAGAAAGTATATATTTTTTATTTTTTTGTGGTCTCCAGAACGAATTAATCAAATTCCCATAGAAACCTATGGTAAATCGATAATCGGTTAACGAACAATTCGGATAGCGAACAAAGTCTTGGAACAGATTATGCTCGTTAACCGATCACCCACTGTAATAAGAATTAATGATTATTTCATTGATTTTTGTTTTAACAAATGAAAAAATAATTGTGTATCTGTTATATTTATGTCCAAGAACTGAAAACCAGTTTATTCCTTCTCAAACTCCGTATTCATGAACCAGTTTTTTCATTCCAATCCCTCAAGGACCAGCACATTTGTGAAATTAAACAAAAAAATAATTATGAACAGAAACAGTTCAAATACATTTTTTTGTTTTTAATTTTAATTTTTAGAGTAAATTAGTAAGAAAAATACAATAACAACTTCATTCCGATCATTTTGAAATAAATAGGTTTGTGTGCTGACCACTTTCATGTAATTTCCCAGGTTGATTCAAATTGTCTGTCCATCTTTGTTATTAAATGTTTAAATAATAAAGAAAAACAAAGGTGATAAAATAACATGCTCTTAAAAGACATTTTAAAATAGTTTTATTATTGTGATACAGTATGTAAAATTGAAATTTTAAGTGAAATCTCATCATAACCCAGTAATAAACTGTTTGTAGATCATAAATCACTCTTTAAGTAGCACTGATGTAAAGCATTTTTGATATTAAATATTTGTCAAAATTACTATGTATTTAAAACTTAGAAAGTTCTATAATCCAATTTTACATGTAATAAAATTTATTACATTTGTTCTAAAATGTTACTTTTATATTTAAAATAATTATTTTTTGTCAGTGTTTTTTCATTCATACGTAATTTTGCCATCATATACTGGTATTTTTGAAACCGTGCCAGTAATTTTTAATTTAAACAAAAAATATTTGTCGTATTTATACAGACACTTGGCCAAATGTCTGTATAAATACAATAAATATTTTGTGTTCGGATTATATTTCATATATTTAATATTACTGTATTTATCATATAAGATTTATATGCTCAATGAATTTACTTAAATAATCATTTATAATAAATATAGTCTAGATCAGGGGTGGCCAACCTTTTGCATACCATGCGCCAATTTTTTGATAGACGAGTTCAGATGCGCAGTGGCGTACCGTGGGTGTTAGCCGCCCGGGGCGGAGAAAAATTTCGGCCACCCTTTAATCAGGTATTTCAATTTAAAAGATCAAAATTCAGTTGTGTGAAAAAAAAATTAATAAAAAATGCGGTGGTGGTGTAGTTACCCGTACAAAATAGTCCCGTTTGACATTAGTGGCATACACGATTGCGAATGTATCGTGAATCGTAGAAGCAAAAAAAAAAAAAAAAAGGTCAACAGGTGTAGCAGTCCAACCGACTCGTGGACTGTCCGGACGGTAGCACTGTCATTTAGACGCCTATGCACTGATCGAAAATAAACATACATGCATACACTGTAATTTACTATGTGGAGAACACTCATTTTATCTGTAAAGTTGATTGCAACGAATTGTGCAACAAATGAACTTGCCAAGACAGACTATAAAAAATTAATTTTCTATGTAATATTCTTAATTGCAAAGAAGCCAAATCTGGCAATGTTGCTCAGAACTGACTAAAGCGCCACTTGTAATCGTCCAATGCACCAAGTTTGGCGCATGCGCCACGGTTTGGCCACTCCTGGTCTAGATCATGATCTTGAAATAAATTTTATTGAAAATATAAAAAAAAGCTTAGAACACAACTGTTCTTCATGGATAATTTGGGATGAAGATTTTATTCATCTCTTCTCAATGTTGAATACATCTAACTAAGGAAATACAACTCTTACATGTGATAAATGAATATTCTTTTTGTTGCAAATTAAACTGCATACTTTAATTACTTTAATACGAAATTAGTTTTTCCAGATTCAAAAAGGAAAGTGATATTTGAACTGAAAATCTTATAGAAAATTCTCAAAATTCATTTTTTAAAAAAAGGATACACTGAATTCTAACTTATCTGGAAATTTATTAAAAAAATGTTTATCTTTAATTTTTTGTGATGCTTCCTTTAACATTTACATTAAAAATAAGCAATGTTTATGCACATAAGTGTTTTTGGGTTGTTTTTCTGCATGTGCTTTCGTATTCTGGAAATTTTTATTATTGATACATACTGATATCTACTCTATATTGATTATATACTAGATATTCTGCTATATATACTAATTAGGGTTTTTTGATTGCTCTTCAATTTTCAGTTTAAAAAATTCTGCCATTAGGGATGTGTAAAAGTTGTATTTCCCCTGTAAGACAAATCAAGTTTTTTATTTAATGAGCAAAATTAAATGCCACAATAGTCTTGCCACCTTCTGTAATGTAAATTCATAATAGTTATAAACATAATTATTTGATTTTCAGTAATTTTAAGTATTTTGAAAAATATTAAAAATGTTCAATAATTTCATTATTGGAACAAACGTAACTCATTTGCATTTAATTTTTTCCATGATTGTTAATTTTTAAAATTTTTTATTTTTTTAAACTTTCATAAAAATAATTGTGAGTATTCATAAAATTTATTAGTACAGGGACAGATATATCTTTCAATTGGTCAAGCCCAGTTACTTATCAATGAGAGATTTTCTCAGTTTTCTGGATTAATAGACAAGTGTGAATTTAATTTAGATGATAAACTAGTAACATGTGATGATCTTCAAGGATTTTGGGATATGATATACATACAGGTATTTTTTATGTTTATATTTTTCTTAGAATCTTTATTTTATTTTATTAATACACTAAATATATTTCAGATTGCTGATGTAGAGAAAAAGTTTGAATTATTAGAAAAAATGAAAGAAAATAATTGGCAGTTGAAAACTGATAATGAAAGTTCAGTTAACATTAAAAATTCTAAAAAACAGGTATTTGATATATATGTAGATTTTACCTATTATAGAATATTTGAAAAAATAATGTAGAATTTCTTCTTTCATATTTAATCTTAAAATTTTTATAAACTTTTCAATTAAACATTAAGAATTAAAAACAATAAACAGCATTGTGAAGCCGTCTAAAAATTCTTGCAATTTGATATGATAAAAAAAAATACATCTGAAAATAAGATGGTATATATTGATTAGCCATGTAAAGATTAAAAATATATGAATTGAAATATATAGGAATTAAAAGCATCAAATTAGAATTTATGGAAGAAATTTTATATCTGGAAGAGATAATTTTATATAAATGATTTGTATAAAATCTTTCTTCCATAAATTCTAATCTGATGCTTTTAATGCCTGTATTTTTCAATTCATATATTTTTAATCTTTGCATAGATAATCAATATATATGTTATGGACAAAGTGATTAATCGGGCATTATGAATAATGACCAAATAGGGCAGGCAGTGTGATAAATATTGATTAATTTATCAAATTGCCCGGTCATTATGAATACTGCTATCACCTAGTCAGGCAAAGTGATAATAATAAGTTGAGGAGTGATCATCTGACAATCGGTACGCTGAGTTGCGTGTGCGTATCATACAGCGTTTAGTACAGAATTTTAAATTTGATTAAAAAAACCCCACTTATTTCATTTAGAAATATTTATTTTTTGTAAATTATATCAAAGTACTATTAACTATATTAATTAAACTAATATTAACGAAAAATATTATTAACAATTTTTGGTATAAATTATATAAAAAATTAAATGTTTTTTAGTTTATTTATTTGAGCAATTAAGATTTTCATGACATTTGGAATTACATAATTTTTTTTATTTGGTAGCAGTTGCATCTATTAGATTTTCAACCAATTTTTCAGCAGCATTAACTATAGTTGTGGCCTTCAGAAATTGATGACATTCTTGCACATTCTCTAAGCGAAATTTCTGCACCCGGTACATCTCCAACAGAAATAAAGTTTTCTTTACAAACAGTAAATTGGTTTCTGGAATATAATAGATTTAATATGCCATGTTTGGTACCCAGTTTGTAAAGGTTTTTATCTTTAACCGCAACAACGACACCTAAAATATTTTTTCCATCACTGCGGGCTCGATCTACATCAGGTACACGAATCCTTACTGTATCATCAACAATAGCTGCTGTGTATTTGGAATTTGATGTATTAATCATTTTTTCTGCTTGCTTTTTAAGATTAAACAAAGCCCTTGTTTTAGACACACTTCTTATTTTTTCTTCTATTTTTGGATCAATTGTTTGGATTGTTTCTTCTTCATTCACCAATTCTGTAATACTAATAACATCCTGGTTTAGATTTTTTTCAAGTGAAGACGATGTAGATCTTTGAACTTCATCAGTTATATTGCTATGTAAGGGTGGCATTATCAAATAATATTTCATAATATTTTCTTGGAAGGTACCCGGACTTTCAGAGTTTGAGCAACTTTGACTTACTTCGTTGATAGTTCTAAAAAGTCTCTGTAGATCCTCTTTCGTATTAACGTTGAACAACGATTCGTTGCGTATAAAATTTTTTAGTCCAACTTTTAACTTTGCTTCAAACATGGCCTCATAGGGGCTGCAGTTTATACCAGTATGATGCGCTCGATTTTTCATCAGTGGTACAAAACGTAATCCTTCCGACCATTTGTTAGTATTGTTAATCTCCAACCAAGAACTAAGCATATTTTCTACGTCTTGATTACATCTTTCTACTGAACCCTGACTTTGTGAGTGCCTGGGCTTTCCATGCACCATTTTTAACTCGGACCACATATTACACATTTCTTTGATAATGTTATTGGCGAATTTCCTGCCATTATTGCTTTGTAGAATACTTGGTGCACCGAAAATTGTAAAAATATCTAAAAGAACATAGGCTACTTCTTCAGCCCTTTTGGTTTTTAACTCGTTTAATCGGTTGTTGAAGTGATTATTCATATCACTTAATAATTCCTCCATGATCGTTCTTTTGTCAAAGAAGAAAGATTAACTACTGGTCACATAAATTTAAAATTCGGTACTAAGTGCAATACGCGTGAGCAAGTAAGACGTAAGTTCTGATTTGCTAACATATGTCGGATGATCACTCCTCAACATATTATTATCACTTTGCCCGACTAGGTGGTAGCAGTATTCATAATGACCGGTCAATTTGATAAATTATTGAAATTTATTACATTAATGCCCGATTTTGTTGGTCATTATTCATAATGCCCGTATTAATCACTTTGTCCATAACATATATACTAATGACAACCATTAAATACTGGCTATTAAAAACTTAGACTACACTTTCAATAACTAAAAACCAGCAAAATAATTCACATAAATTCAGCAAATGTGAGTTATTTTGCTAATTTTTGGTTATTGAGTGTATAGTCTAAGAATAGATATATATTATCTTATTTTCATATGTAGTTTTTATTTATTTATCATTCCTAAAGAAATTTTTGTCATAATTGAATAATAACTGTAGATTTTGTTGGAATGGAATAAAAGTTTAAAATATTAATATATCAATAATTTTTCTTAGTTAATTTTACTTCTAATTAATAATAATGAGAAATATTCTATATTATTATTATTTAAAATTCTTAAATTAAATGTTATATATAGTTTCATTACAAAGATTCAAATGAAATATAAATTATAAAACTATTATTATATTATTTTCAGTTAAAACATTTTTTTTAATATTTGTTTATTGTAACTTATGA